CTTTTGAAGTGTGTAAAGCTCCATTTTATCGCATACATAATCAAAATATTATAGTCAAAATATTGGTGGGGGGGATGATACAATGGACCAGCCCCCCTTGTCAAATATTGGGGAATATATCCCCCATCCCCCCCCCCCCCCCCCGGGATCTACGCTTATGCGTACAGCATATTGTCAAAAGTGTTTCAGTCACGAATGACGATAATGATAATGACGTATTCGGTATCGTTTTCCTAAGGTTACGAAAACTCCCTATATAAACACGTATTTTGTAACGTAGCCATATCGTTGCAAATGTGCTGTATGTTATTTGAATTACATTATTATAACTCCATTGGTAAATAACACTGTTGTTGCCGTCATCAGTACCTTTTTGTCATCGTTTTATCATTAATACGTTCTCTGTCGCATTTTCAGGCAATCATTATGCTTCTCATTGTCGTTGTGTTGTTCTTTGTAACTTGGGGACCGTTCATGATATATCAACTCCTGGACCGTTTAAGTGTCATTGACGCTCACTTAACCAGTGTTAATCGGCTTATCTTCATAATAGTGAGGATGTTAGCTATAGCAAACAGCTGCATGAACCCATTTCTCTATGTGTTTATGTCAAAAAGTTTCCGATCAGCCATTACAGCCACTTTATGTTGCCGCAGAGAGCGAACAGGTCTGGCGAAAACAAGCAACATTGGACGCAGCATATCAGGTGGCCTTAGCACCAAGACCACCACAAGTCACTACAGCATATCGGGCATCAACTAATGACGCAACAGCAAATTTGTTGTTTTTTTTTAATTTGAAATACAAATTGGAAGAAGAGCAGATTGTTGGCCCTACCCAGTTACAGGAACAGGGAAATAGAAACGTATATAGATAGCTGTATAGGTTTTATTAGACGGGATCTATACAAATTCTGAAGTACAACGTCTTGATATGTAATTTAGATATTTAATATTGTATTGAATTGTTTATTTATTTAGCGCATTTTCAGATAATTAATTGATTATTCTTCATTGGGCTTAAAGGTAAAATATGATTAAGTCTCGAGACACAGAACAGCAGCGCATGTGTGGTATGTATGTTACTGTCACCAGGGAACACATTTCACTATTCCCTGCTGTCACTAGAAACAAATACAGCGACGTGCTTTTATGTTTAAACCTACTAAGTATCGGGTACCTAATGGCGACTGATAGTTGCACAACAAACAATTAAATGTCATTTATATTCATTAAATGTAATTCGTGATATGTATTAGTAGCCAACGTAACGTATCGTAACATGTAATGGTGTAGTGTGACAAATCGGATCAATGATGACTGTGTTACATTCTAAAATATGAAATTACATTATGTACATAAAATATATTTTCCTTAATATTCATATTGATGTAAATAAGATGATATAAAATAATAATAGGAACAGTATCCAATTATAAGCGATTTTATGATTGTATTGAGCATAGCCCTTCAATATCTGTCTCTTATACACATCTAGATGTGTATAAGAGACAGGTCGTATTGCATATAGGGATATCATAGCTATATCATTATACTATCAAGCATAGCTTATCAACGAAAAGTTCCTTCATTTCAGTTGTATGAAGAGAGAGTCTGTGGTGGGAATCGAACCTGCAACCTCTCGCTAACCAGGCTAGTATAATACCTTCATTCGAATTCCACGTGTGTTCGAACAAAATATAGAAAACTAAATATACTATAGAACTTAAGATGTATTGGATAAGACAAAATCTAGTTCGAGTTCAAAAGATAATTAAAATTATAGAAGACGTATTTTGCAGGTGCGTGATCTTAATTGTTTGTTTTTAAAGTATGTTCATTACGTGCAATTGTTAGTATGTGTATTTCATTGTACTCACATTTTTTAATATTAATATACTGTACTGTAATGTAGGTCTATTTATCTTTCTATTACTGTACATCATAGGTTTACAGTTTATAGAGAGTGCATTTAGCAGGTTGGTGGTGCTATAAAATGTAATTGAAGATATACAATACGAAACTCCAATACCTTGCAATAAGAACGAAACATTTCTTTCATCATGAAAGTAATTAATTGTCAATAAAAATAGTCTAACTCAATAACCCAAAGTCGTCTTTGTAACCAACAACTATATTATCATAAATATTATATTTATAAAATGGTTGGTACCTCTACAAAAAGATTGTTTCCTCTGATTCTCCAATATACTTAATTTAAGAATCCTCATGAAATTGAAAAATATTTTTGATGCATTTAAATGATATTAAAATATACTGAGGGATATTTAGATTGGTTTTCTTTCATTGAATAATTATTAAAGAACAAACAGATTGTGTGGATGGCGTGGGTATTGTATATTCTTAAAGCACGATCAGTAAATAATTCATAAATTTTATGGTATTCAATAAAGAATGTTTCATGTTAATTTCTCCAGATTCAGTTTCATATGATACAACGGTTTTCCGTTATATC